AAGAGTGGATTGACCATCAGTTGCTAGTTAGCAGTGGTAACGCGGAGTGCGTTGTGTATGCAAGATGGGACATACACCGGTACTGGCGCTTATCTTGGCTCTAGTTACCATATCTGTGACAGGAGGTCCCCCTCAGCTTCCTGACACTTCTGGAATCGACTTCGTGCTCACCGACAACCTCAACGTCGATCAGTTCTTTTCACTGTGGCTTGTCTTCAACAACGATGACGTTAAAATGTCAGGTATGTTTTGAAACCGTTTCTGTTCCCTGTTCGATGGTGTTGTTGAACTCGTCTGGTACTTTCTTATGCCCTAATTATGTGCTTGAAGAAGGAATGTTGAGTGGTACTTCGTATTCGGGATATTGTTGGTTCGAATCTCGACCAGAAGACTTGTTACTGTGACGGAGGTTTTTCGTGATTTTTCTTAGGCCCTCCAGGCAAGTACCCTGATATACTGCAAATTGGCCGTGGCCATTTTCTTCCATTCCTTCCCGTGCATTATTCAGTTGTAGCATCCTTGGTTGGGGATCGTGGGCTTTTGACCCTCCAGGTAGAGATGACTGCTTACAGATGAGCCGAGCGGTTGCGACATGCGCTTTATTATTCCCCATGCTAACCACACAACAACTTCTTTCCCAATACATTTCTAGATGTTACTAAATTAATAATCTTGAGTGTTCTAGGTTACTAATATGTGGTTCGCGACCCACAGATACGATACGTTAATCACATAATTCAATTTGATGCTGTATAGTCTGAGCTCATAATAGGACTCTTAGGGAATAAATCCTAACAAATGCGTAAAGAAATAAGTTCCTATATACCATAAATAAATACAAAAATAGGAAAAACTTTACATAACTGGCCTATCAAGGAACATACAGATTGTAGGAAGATACAAATTTACAAGACTTTCCGATTTACGGGTTTAATATCAAGTAAATTTTGGAATAATTATGGCTCCCTGACCAGTAAGAAAAAAGTATTGTCAGAAATACAAATCTTGTATTTTTATTTGTAAATCAGCCCATTTTACAGAAATGAGCCCCAAACATCGTTACGTTAGTCCGACAGTACACATTCCTGCAGTTTGGTATTCTGCATCGTATACGTAATCTGTTTAGCAACCGAGACTATATAGATTGGTGCAAAATGATATGGCAATAATGTGGAATGGAGCTGTTGTTACCTAATTTTAGGTTCTGTCCCGGCATATGCCTGTGTTTACTGAGCATAGTCCCAAAAGACCTCATGATAGTCAGTGTCCCAGTCGAGATTCGAACCGGGTACCTTTCCAATACAAATCAGACATTGCGCTTATGCAATTATACAGCAAGAAATGTTCATGTTTTACACCACACGGCTGTTGGTCAGCAATCTGAATGCCATGTAAACTTTCTTCGAAATGGATTTAAATGTCATTCCATACGTAACTGCGCCTCTCAGTGGCCCCAAGTCGCTAGTTTCGTTCCGACGTCTTTGCATAGAACTGCCTTCTTTAGAAAGAAGAATGTGTGTTTATTTGTGGTCTATTTGACGATGCTGTCAATAGTTCAGAAAACCCCGAAGGAAATACGTAAAAGGGTAAGATCTAGGAGCAGATGTAGGATAGTATTAAAATAGATCTTAAAGCAATTGATGGGAGGGGTGTGGAACCGAATCATATTGAGCCCATTTTGGAACCAGCTGTGGGCTCTTGTGAGCAAGGTAATTAATTTTTACTTCCCATAAAATGCTCGCAATTTTCGAGTAACAAAAGAACTGTTTTCTCAAGAAGGACTCAGCTTCCTGGTGTCAGTGGTTCAGACTGCAGAGTGCAATGATAGAATTATTAGTGAATAATGAATTGGTAATAATATGGAAGGAAGCGATCGTGATTTGTTTCAATTAGTCTCGTCGTTTACGTGGAAGGACTGATGAAAACCACGACAAATCTCAGTCCCAATAGCTGGTCTTCAGGCCAAGGTTTANCTTTAAAGTCGTAAAGAGTACAGTCTTCTGGGATACAAAGCGGTGTATTCCTTTGAAAATCAACCTTGCACCTAAGAAGGAAGTGAAGTGCACAAAGGAGTCTGGTCTGGTCTTCTCGAATCGTAGAATATGTCGTTGATTAGCCTCCCCATAGAGGAACTCTGGTGGGATCTGAGGTTCTTAGACTTTCAGCGGACTACACGGCATTACATTTTAGACGATAGTACTCTTCATAACCACCGGTGTGAGAACTTAAAACTCCAACTTAATAGTCCTACTTCTTGATGCCACTTTTCTCCAGACACATTATGCGTATTTTTACGTAATCCTGCTAACTCATGTAGGAGATCCGGGATAGGGCAGTCGGTATAACGATTGCCTACAGGCTTAACGACAGAGGGGCTGTAATTCGAGTCCCTATGGGAGCAAGAATTTTCACTTCTCCATGTCTCTGGAGCACACCCAGATTCCTGTTCAGTGAGTATTGGGGCTTTCCCCCGGGGTAAAGCGGATGGGGCGTGAAGATCACCACTCACCTCCAACTAGTGCCGAGGTCAAGAAAACGTGGATCTACACATACACTCCCCCATACATCTTAATGGCGTAGTGCTTAATTAGTTAAGTAGAGGGAAAAATTTACCTTTCTTTCTGATTCGCTCGTATAAGAATATTATTTGTGGCGCACAATATAGGATTATGTTTCCTTGGTTATTCCGATTTTATGTATGTGTTGCATGAAGTGCAAAAATGAAGGAGTTGTGGGGAAAGCCGCTTGTTTCATCTACGTCTTTTCAACCTACTTCAATTTTTTCGAGTGCTTTGCACTAAATATGATTGGTTTCTTTTGGGATGTGACACGTATAATCTAGTAAATTTTTGCTGACCCTTTGGGTGATTCACTGCCCTAGTTTCCAGTGTAGCTTTTAGCAGGAAAAGATTGTGAGGACTAACATCGACTGCTCGCACTGTCATATGGAATACCACTCTGAACTATGAAAGTCAATAGACTTCCAAAAACAGGAGAACGCATTGTGTTAATGTTCCTAATCATCTTATTTGCAGAGTTAACTTGCAGGCATGTTATTTTTATACCTGAGCATTCTGTACGGTACCACTGAAGCTTTTCTGTACAGGAAAACCATCCGTCGACCACCAACAATAAAGAACAGAACCGAACTGTGGGATCATTACAGGACTACAAAATCTCTTCACCCAAGCTTCTACTTGACGGTTTATTATATTGTTCTCGTAGTGTGATTCCCCAAATTAGGTGTCTATTCCTTATATGGCACGTTTCCTATGCTACAGACTCATAGGCAAATAATGTAGGTCTCATCGAAGCTTTATCTGAAAGTTCCCATGTAATTAATAAAACATAAGAACACATACCTGATTACATGGCCGAGCAGGACGGCGTGGCAGTAGCGCTATAGAAATGCATTCGATAGATGATGGGTTAGAATCTGCACTTAACACCTGATACCCTGAGGTTTCGTGGTTTTTCTCATTCCCTGTAGGCAAATTACTCCACAGTACCTGAAGTCAGACCATCATCGCTTCCTACCGCATTATTCCTTTCAACTCCTTTCCTTGGCCGCGCCATAGCTCAAGCGGTTAGCTGCTAGCTTCCCATCGCGGGTTCGATCCCGGGACTGGTCAAGTGGGATTTGTGGTGGACAAAGTGGCGTTGGGCCTGGTTTTATCCGAGTACTGGCCCTGGGGTTCACTCAGCCTCTAACAGAAATGACTACTAGGAATTAAATAAATAATTTTCCCCGGGAGTAAAGCGCGGCCGGCGCGTAAGGCTGACAACCATACCGCCATCTTTGAGCCGATTGTCTAGATAATGTAGGACCCTCAACGTCTCACAACCCTACGGGCCTTCATGGCCTGTTACAGGGATAGCTTTACTTTTTTTTTACTTACTTCGGATTCCCTTGCCAATCTTTATTCCATCAAATTCTCCATCATCATAATCACTCGGGTCAGGCTACAGTAGATCAATCAGTGGCCGCCGTGCCGAGTGGACCCAGCTAGACTCCACCCTCCACTAACAGAATTACCTCCTTTCCTAACTTACTCACTTACTCATGGAGCTGAGCCCTTCTGGAGGAGTCGCCAATTCTGCAGCTACTCAAGAATTTCCAGCATTTTATGAAAAGTCGAAGGTTCATTACCGTTTTCACAACAGCCCTCCACTGGTCCCTATCCTGAGCCAGATCTATCCAACCCATAACATCCCATCCTATCTCTCTAAGATCCATTTTAATATTGTCCACCCACCTACACGTTGGTCTTCCCAGTGGTCTCTTTCCTTCTGGCTTTCCCACCAATATCCCATATTCATTCATGTTCTCGCCATTCGTGCTACATGCCCTGCCAATCTCATAATCTTTGACTTGATCATTCTAATTATACTTGGAGAAGAGTACAAGTTATGAAGCTCCTCATTATGCAGTTTTCTCCAACCTCCTGTCACTTCATCTCTCTTCAGTCCAAGTATTCTCCTCAACACCCTGTTCTCAAACACCCTCAGTCTATGTTCCTCCCTTAGTGTCAGAGACCAAGTTTCAGTGACAGAGTTGTAAAATAACCATGAACGAAATCTGGTTATATGTAATAGGAGTAAAATACCTCTGCATTCATATATTCATATCATACCGTATCATAATTGACGTGAAGACAAAGCAAGAAATGCCGAATGTCGACACAAAATGTGTACGTTCTCCGCACGCGAACATCCTATTGCGGTGCTTGCTGGGTGTAACAGTGTCATATTATCCATCCCTGAGCGAATATCGCCTTCTGTTAGTGTTATTGTTATGCTACAGAGACCTTCAGTCCGCCCTTGACATTGTCGCGTCGTTCTGAAATCGATTATCTGTCTTCACAAGAGTTGTATGCCCGTGTCGGCCGCGTGGCAGCGCTGTACGCAATCAGGTTCCACCTCTTGCTTGCCGACAAGGGGAGGGGCCAGTAGAAACTTTTCCTTCCTGGCGGTTTACTTCTTTAGGACCAGCTGCAAGAGTGGATTGACGATCAGTTGCTAGTTAGCAGTGGTAACGCGGAGTGCGTTGTGTATGCAAGATGGGACATACACCGGTACTGGCGCTTATCTTGGCTCTAGTTACCATATCTGTGACAGGAGGTCCCCCTCAGCTTCCTGACACTTCTGGAATCGACTTCGTGCTCACCGACAACCTCAACGTCGATCAGTTCTTTTCACTGTGGCTTGTCTTCAACAACGATGACGTTAAAATGTCAGGTATGTTTTGAAACCGTTTCTGTTCCCTGTTCGATGGTGTTGTTGAACTCGTCTGGTACTTTCTTATGCCCTAATTATGTGCTTGAAGAAGGAATGTTGAGTGGTACTTCGTATTCGGGATATTGTTGGTTCGAATCTCGACCAGAAGACTTGTTACTGTGACGGAGGTTTTTCGTGATTTTTCTTAGGCCCTCCAGGCAAGTACCCTGATATACTGCAAATTGGCCGTGGCCATTTTCTTCCATTCCTTCCCGTGCATTATTCAGTTGTAGCATCCTTGGTTGGGGATCGTGGGCTTTTGACCCTCCAGGTAGAGATGACTGCTTACAGATGAGCCGAGCGGTTGCGACATGCGCTTTATTATTCCCCATGCTAACCACACAACAACTTCTTTCCCAATACATTTCTAGATGTTACTAAATTAATAATCTTGAGTGTTCTAGGTTACTAATATGTGGTTCGCGACCCACAGATACGATACGTTAATCACATAATTCAATTTGATGCTGTATAGTCTGAGCTCATAATAGGACTCTTAGGGAATAAATCCTAACAAATGCGTAAAGAAATAAGTTCCTATATACCATAAATAAATACAAAAATAGGAAAAACTTTACATAACTGGCCTATCAAGGAACATACAGATTGTAGGAAGATACAAATTTACAAGACTTTCCTATTTACGGGTTTAATATCAAGTAAATTTTGGAATAATTATGGCTCCCTGACCAGTAAGAAAAAAGTATTGTCAGAAATACAAATCTTGTATTTTTATTTGTAAATCAGCCCATTTTACAGAAATGAGCCCCAAACATCGTTACGTTAGTCCGACAGTACACATTCCTGCAGTTTGGTATTCTGCATCGTATACGTAATCTGTTTAGCAACCGAGACTATATAGATTGGTGCAAAATGATATGGCAATAATGTGGAATGAAGCTGTTGTTACCTAATTTTAGGTTCTGTCCCGGCATATGCCTGTATTTACTGAGCATAGTCCCAAAAGACCTCATGATAATCAGTGTCGCAGGCGAGATTCGAACCGGGTACCTTGACAATACAAATCAGACATTGCGCTTATGCAATTATACAGCAAGAAATGTTCATGTTTTACACCACACGGCTGTTGGTCAGCAATCTGAATGCCATGTAAACTTTCTTCGAAATGGATTTAAATGTCATTCCATACGTAACTGCTCCTCTCGGTGGCCCCAAGTCGCTAGTTTCGTTTCGACGTCTTTGCATAGAACTGCCTTCTTTAGAAAGAAGAATGTGTGTTTATTTGTGGTCTATTTGACGATGCTGTCAATAGTTCAGAAAACCCCGAAGGAAATACGTAAAAGGGTAAGATCTAGGAGCAGATGTAGGATAGTATTAAAATAGATCTTAAAGCAATTGATGGGAGGGGTGTGGAACCGAATCATATTGAGCCCATTTTGGAACCAGCTGTGGGCTCTTGTGAGCAAGGTAATTAATTTTTACTTCCCAGAAAATGCTCGCAATTTTCGAGTAACAAAAGAACTGTTTTCTCAAGAAGGACTCAGCTTCCTGGTGTCAGTGGTTCAGACTGCAGAGTGCAATGATAGAATTATTAGTGAATAATGAATTGGTAATAATATGGAAGGAAGCGATCGTGATTTGTTTCAATTAGTCTCGTCGTTTACGTGGAAGGACTGATGAAAACCACGACAAATCTCAGTCCCAATAGCTGGTCTTCAGGCCAAGGTTTAAACTCGGCAAAAATGGACTGTAATTCCATGCAGTGAAGCTAAGGCAGATCCTGACATGGATCTACCTGGAAATGAACCATAGTTGCCATGACGTTACTGTTCAAATGAACTTGTGTGAACCGTTAGTTCAAACAGTGCCGGAGAATGACGCTACAATTGCTGTTGGCATTAGCTTGTACTCAGTGCAGCTAGCAGGCCATTTGACTCAACTGTAACCAGAGATGGAAGAGGGTCTTTGAAGCTAAGGTAAACTCTCCAGATCAGTTGAAGATGCCGGATAATGCCTAACACGTGGTATAAAGGAAATATCTTTATCGCATATTACGGAAAATATTCCTACTTGTATTGTTGTTGGGAATGGTAGGTACGTCTTGAAGCACTGCAAACAGTTTCTTTAAGAAAAGAAACGCGCTCTAGAACTAAGTAGTTTGTGTCCCTCCACGTCTACTCCCCATTACCAATTCTGACCGTAATTTGTTTTAGAATTACAGGTATATGATTAATATCTTTTGTTTCATTCACTGAATAATATTAGGTCAATAGTACTAGTTATGTGCCGATCACAGTGGCCGCGCGGTCTAAAGCATGAACTTTTTTTGCTCGCTCGAATACTGGGATCTTGGCTTCGAATTCCACCCAGCACATGGATGTTTGTCTACGTTTATTCTGTGTTTATGTTGTCCCGTGTGAAGGTAGCGGCCTTGCAATGGGTTGATCACTCGTCCAAGTAGTCCTACAGTCTGTGTAAAAAAGAATACGAAATTGAAAAAGAGGCCAGGGCCCAACAGAAGGCTGTAGAGACATTGGTGAATGAATGAAGTACAAGTTATATAGTTGCCCATTCATTGTCCACTCTTCAGCTCCTTCCTCTTCGATCCAGATATTTTCCTCAGGACCCCATTCCCAAACTCTCAATCGTGGACCCCGCTAGAATTTTTTTTTTACCAAACGGAGAAATAAATTTTCCAGGGGAGTCCGACTAAGTATTTTCTTAGAAAAACAAGGAACTCCGTGGCCTGTAGTCCGCAAACGAACTACATCGACCGAGCGACCGCCGCTTGTCGACGAAGATAGTGTCAACTTTTGCGGATAGAGGGTGTCGCGTGGTCAGCGCAAATAATACCCACGGCCGTTAATCTCGGTTTTCTAGACCGGAGTTGCTATTTCCTTGTAATAGCTCCTCAGTTATCATCACGAGGCTGAGTGGACCCCTTTCCAGACTCACTACTTCTCAGAAAATCTGGTAGCGCCTGGAATCGAACCCGGGACCACTAGACCACAGAGACAGTCATCTTCTTAAAAACTTGTGTTAAAACCGTTTAAGACTCTCAATATTGAAGGCCCCAGGACATTCAGTGTAGAAAATAGCGTTTTAAGTGCTTTGAAATTTTATTAGTAATATTTGATGTACTTCTTACTTGTTTCAATTTCGATTTTTCCGAAAATCCAAAAGGGCGGGCAAATGCATGGTTTGTCCCCTCCCCGGCGGCCCCCATTACCTCAGGGCATGCGGTGAATGACCAAGGTTCACATCCGTATGAAATAACCGTAGGCTAACATTTGTATTAGTTTATACCCGGCAACTTTCGCCGTAACTTGTTTTATGCACATGAAAACTGCTTGCTCGCCGACCGGGTCGGTGTAGCTTTACAGCTGCAGACTTGTATTCGGTTGGATAATTCAGTCGGTATAGCTACATGCTGGAGGGCCGGAGTTCAATTCTCGATAGAAGCAAGTGATTTATCTGTACTCCACAATGTCCAGATCAGCTCTGGGGCCTGCTGAGCCTCCTACTTATAGGATTTCTTCAAGGACTAAAGCGGTCGAGGCGTGAATCTGAAGAATATGTGGTGCAGCTGTAACTTCATTTCCCATACGTCTTCGTGGCCTTAAGCAAGCACAGGGCCAATTTTACCTCTACCTGTTACTTAGTTCTGGGGCACGCCGTAGTGTAGATGGTAGAGGCACTATGCTACAAGCCGGAAGAGCGCGGGTTCGAGTCCCGATAAGGTAGAGTTTTTCAATTTACCTAATATTTCCAACCGCGATATAACCCTGGGGTCGTCTCAGTCTCTAAGAGAAATGAGTACCAGGAATCTTCCTGTGGGGTAAGGGCGGACGGCGCATAAGGCTGATAACCTTACCGCCATCTGTGTGTCGATTGTCTAGATGATGTGGGATCCTCAACGTCTCACACAACCCTCGAGGCCTCCGTGGCCTCTTATGGAGATAGTTTTACCTTTTTTTGTTACTTAGTTATATTCTCGGCAAAGTTATTTTTATTTAACGTCTTTTGTAAGTCTCTTCAAGCGAATAATAACTTGGAATTTGACAGCCTACTCAGTCTTTGTAAAAACGTTTCTTTGGACATTTAGTAACCTAAAAAATGCGAATGTAAGACTAATGTTGGGGAATGAATCCATTTGCCTACGTTGAAATTCCATACACGAACACCTTTTTCCTGTGGTAAGATTTCCTAAGGCATGTACTGTCTTCGCTCGCTTGGAAACCGGGATCGTGGGTTCGAATCCCACTCAGGGCATGTGTGTGTGCGTTTTTCTGTGTTTATGTACAGGTAGAGGCCTTGCGACGAGCTGATCATCCGCCCAAGGAGTCCTACCGTATGTCTAAGATCTAGAAAAACCGAAGTGAACGGAGAAGTTTATGGAGGTAGGCCTAGGCCCACTGGAGCTGTAGTGCCAAGGAAAAAAAAAA